TACCGCCTTACTTCGTTTTCTTATATGATCAGAATTATCTACTTGTGGACATAAGAAGATAATCTAATTTCTGTCAAGGAAGAATCGCCTCCACACCATTCCACGAAAATGCTTTTTCATTATTGAAGAAAGAAGCCCATAAGCCAGTGGGCAATGGCACAATCGTAACTTTTCTGAAGATGCCATAAAGATGTGTAATAGTCTTAGTGAACTTTCATGCGGACTATTGTTTCAAGAAGCTACACTTCGTTATTTTTGTTTATATTTCTAGGGAGAGGAAACGTTCAATTTAGGTTAAGTTATCCCTACCACCTTACTTCGTTTCTTATATATGATCAGAATTATCTACTTGTGGATTAATCTATTTTTTATCTTCTACCCTTTAAGGTCTATTAATCAGGGGTTAGAAACTATCTATCTATCTATATCTCTGTTCTGTCTGTCTCTCTCTCTCTCTGTCTCTGTCTCTGTCTCTCTCTCTCTCTCTCTCTCTCTCTCTCTCTCTCTCTCTCTCTCTCTCTCTCTCTCTCTCTCTCTCTCTCTTCTCTCTCTCTCCTCTCTCTCTCTCTCTCTTTCTCTCTCCAGGTTAGAATATAAACGACATTATATGGGTATGTTCGTTGTGTGTTTGTGTGTCTTTGTGTATGTATATGAATAATATATGTGTGTGTGTGCGTGTTCGTGCGTGTGAGTGTATGGTGTTTTGTGTGTGTGTGACTGTATATGTATATATATATATGTGTGTGTCTGTAAGTTTGTGAGTGTGTATGGTATGTGTATGTGTTTGTGTGTGTGGTATATGTGCGTGTACAGTCGTGTTTTAGGATGTACATAACTGTATATGTGTTTGGGTGTGTGATATGTGTGTGTGTGTGTGTAACTGCATGTGTGTATGTGTGTGTTTTTTTTATATGTTTGTGAGCATGTAAGTGTATGTGCATGATTGTGTGTTTGTATAAATGTGTATATAAATGTATGTGTGTGTGATAGTTGTGTGTTTTTTGTATGTGGAACTACATGGGTATGTGTTGTGTTTGTGTGTCTGCATGTTTGTGAGTGTGTATGTGTGTGTGTATCATATGTTGTGAGTGTGTATGTGTTTTTGTGTGTGTTAAGTGCACATTGTGTTGTGGTGTTATTTGTGTTTATGCATGTGTTTTGTGTTGTTATGTGATTATAATGTGTGTGCATGTGTGTAACTATATGATAATGTGTGTGAACATATTGTGTGTGTGCACTATATGCGCGTTGTGTGTGACAATGTGTATGTGTGAACTAATGCATCATGGTGTAACTATATGCGTGTGTGTGACAATGTGTGTGTATGTGTGTGCGTGATAATCAACCCACCTATGAGGACGCTTCTAATCCCATCATCAACCACACTCAGAATACCCCTATGATGATGCTACCCCTCCCCCCCCCACTCCCTCCCCCCCCCCCTCCACATCAAACGAAATCCCGCCCGCAAACGCCTACCCTCATTCGTGAACG